TGACACCCATCAGAGCTGCCCCCTCCTGCCCCAGGGAAGCTCACCGTGCAGGCAGCTTCCCTTCGCTTTCCCTTCCCCCCTGCTGCTGCGCGGCGGTCATGGGCTGCTGGCTCCGTGAGCTGGGCGCCTGTGGAGTCTGCATGGAAGTGGGACCGTGCGGTGTTTGTGTCTGTGACTGGCTTATTGCACTCAGCATATTGTCCTCCAGCTTCCTGTGGGACCGAGTAATGTGCCACGCGTGTCTGACTTCTTGTGGATCCATTCGCCGCCTCGCGGGCACTGGGCTGCTTCCGCCTCTTGGTCACTGTAATGGATAGGGCCTGCACTGCCTCTCCAGGACCTGTTTCCAGTTCTTTTACAAGTGGCAGTGTTGGATTGTGTGGTCATTGTGTGGTCATGTTTGATGTCAGAAAACTGATTTTTTTTTTAATTTGAAAGGAGGGGGGAGGGAGGGAGGGGGAGAGAAAGAGAGAGAGAGAGAGAGAGAGAGAGAGAGAATACAAATCTCCTATTCATTGGTTCACTCCCAAAATGCCTGCAACAGCCACCAGCACTGAGCCAGCTGGAAGCTAGGACCTGAGCATTCAGTGTGGACTCCCGCTGGGTGGCAGCGCCCCGACTCCTGGGACCACCCCCCACCGGCTCCCACGTATGCACTGGAGGAAGCTGAGCTGGGGTTGGAGTCAGGACTCAAACCCAGGCACTCCACTGTGACATGCGGATGTCCCACGTGGCATCCCAAGTACTACATCCAATGCCCGCCTCTATTACCAGTTTTTTTTTTTTTTTGAAGGGAGTTTCATACTGTTTTTCATAGTGACTGCACTACTTTATATTCCTACCGACAGTGCACAATGTCTCCAATGTCCTGTCCTCTTTGCCAACACTTGCAAACACTTATTTTATCTTTTTTAAAGATTTATTTATTATGTATTTATTTGAAAGGGAGAGTAACAGAAGGAGAGACAGGAAGAGATCTTCCATCAGCTGGTTCACTCCCCCAAATGACCACAAAGGCTGGGGCTAGTCCTGGCCCAAGTCAGGAGCCTGGAACTCCATCCAGGTCCCTCACATGGGTGCAGGGGCCCAAGCACTGGGGTCATCTTCCACTGCTTTCCCAGGCGCATTAGCAGGGAACTGGATTGGAAGTGGAGCAGCTGGGACTTGAACCGGAACTCATATAGGATGATGGTGTCACAGACAGCAGCTTAACCTGTTAACGCCACCACACCAGACCCCTGTTTATTTTTTTTATACAGTGATTATCCTAAAGGGTATGAGCTCATCGTGGCTTCGAGTTGTGTTTTCCTGATGATTAGTGATGTTAAGTATCTTTTCATGTGCTTGTTGGCTAATTGTGTATCCTCTTTTTGAGAAATGTCTATTTGTCTCCTTTGTCCATTTAAAACTTTAAAAATTATTTATTTGGGGGCCAGTGCTGTAGCAAAATGAGTAAAGCTGCCAGCTGGGTGCCAGTTTGAGAGCTACTGCTCCACTTCCTGTCCAGCTCCCTGCTAATGTGCCTGGGAAAGCAGTAGAAGATGGCCCAAGTCCTTGGGCCCCTGTACCCACGTGGGAGACCCAGAAGAAGCTCCTGACTTCTGGCTTTGGACTGGCCCAGTTCTGCGACTGCAGCTATTTGGGGAGTGAACCAGTGGATGGAAGACCTCTCTCTTTGTCTCTCCTTTCTCTCCCTGCAATTTTGCCTTTCAAATAAATACATAAATAAATCTTTTAAAAACATTTATTTGATCTGTTTGAGAGTGAGAGAGAACTCTCCCATCTGCTGGATCACTCCCCATATGCTCTCAGAAGCTGGGCTGGGCCAGGCTGAAACCAGGAGCCAGGAGCCAGGAACTCTGGTGGGTCGCCTTGGGTGGCAGGAACCCTATCACTTGAGCCATCACCTGCCACCTCCCGGGGTCTGTGTTAACAGGAAGCTGGAGTCAGAAGCCAAAGCCAGGGACGGAATCCAGGTGTTCCAGTGTAAGATGTGGGTGTCTTAATGGCAAGACCAAATGCCTGCCCATTTTCATTTGAGTTACTTGGGTTTTTTTTTATTTTTTATTTTTTTTGACCGGCAGAGTGGACAGTGAGAGAGAGAGACAGAGAGAAAGGTCTTCCTTTGCCGTTGGTTCACCCTCCAATGGCCGCCGCGGCCGGTGCGCTGCAGCCGGCGCACCGCGCTGATCCGATGGCAGGAGCCAGGAGCCAGGTGCTTTTCCTGGTCTCCCATGGGGTGCAGGGCCCAAGCACCTGGGCCATCCTCCACTGCACTCCCTGGCCACAGCAGAGGGCTGGCCTGGAAGAGGGGCAACCGGGACAGAATCCGGCGCCCCGACCGGGACTAGAACCCGGTGTGCCGGCGCCGCTAGGCGGAGGATTAGCCTAGTGAGCCGCGGCGCCGGCTACTTGGGTTTTTTGTTATTGA